CCTTATTTGCTGGCAAAACTTCATATTAAAAATCTAAAGCTCTCATTCCCTAATTTTGCTCTAATTTACAAAAACATTGAATGTCAAATTTCATCCATTTTGGATCATACTTAGAAGCTGCTCAATGAGGTTAAAGTTTTAGACTGCAATGGCCTGGTACCTTATGCACTTACAAACACATATTTGTTATATATTATAATATGTATTTATAGCATATTATTTTATTGCATGCATAATACATAATTACATATGATTGTTATACAATTTTGTTGTGGTTAGTCACATTGTTATTGTTTCCTTTTTTGCTGTTTTCTATGATCTTGCACAACTTGAAGAAGGAATTGTTTCTGTTTTTCTTTCTTTTTTATGATGACATTACACTCCTCAATAAGGGTCATACCCTTTTCAGCATTGCTATTTACCACATTCAAGTGGTGAACTGTTTGTAATGCCTCCCCATAGTCCTCTCTGAGTTCCCATGACTTAAGGTCATAATCCAGAAATCCAACTGGAATTTCAAGGCACCTGCAGAAGTCTGTTATGTTCTTTGTGGTAAAATCTTCAGTAGACATGTCCTCAGTCTTTCTGATATTCAGCTGGATGTACATTGAAGGTTCATCCATGCTTTCCTTCTAACTTAGTGCTTTCCATGGCTCAATTTGGGTATGGATATAGTTTAATCAAAAAATGCCAAACCAATGAGCTCCTCATTGAGATACCATAGATGTTCGACAAATTTTAGACAGGCAGATTTTGAAAAAGCAAAATTCATCTTCGTATATTTAACAAGACATTGTAGAAAATTAAGATCATTGCAAGGAACAGAAATGGCATCAGAAGAAATGAACCATGCCCTAAGATAGACTCAAACAACAAAGATATTTACAGAGTCTTCTTTCCTCACGGCCAGTGAGCTTAAACTGTCCCATAAACATCCAGACCTTGAAGACATATAATGATTTGACTATCCATCATGCATATTGCATTTGCTCTAAGTGCTATAAATAGCACTCCATGTGGAGGAATGTCACCAAGAAAAGTTATGGCTAGTTCAAGAAGCTCTCAATAATTATCTCTAGATTGGTTGACCTGAAGTTGTCTTACTGAAATTATAAAAACTACTGCCATGTCATACAGAATAATTCTGAAGTAAAACGTTACAGCATGGATTATTTATATATGAAATATTCCTGAACATTCTGAATAATGTGGAATACTCTGGAATATTCCAGAATAACCTAGAACTCTCATGAATTATTGAGAATATTCTGGAACACTCGAAAATATTTGGGATATGCAGATGTATAGTGCAAGCTACAAGGTAAAATTTCAAATACCTTGTGCAACCCCTAAATGTTACTGAATAAGGATAAAATTTGGTGCACATTACATATTTATATATTAGAACAAAGTGAGGGGGTCAGAATGTTGTAAACAAAAACTTCAAAAATAAAGACACCCTAACAGACATGTTGAGTAAAGTTAAAAAAGGTAATCATATTTCTGTACAAATCACTAATCAGGCCTCACTTTGAAAAGTATGTACAGTTTGATCTCCTTGCCTTAGAATGGATATTGATGTATTCAAGAGAGTTCAGACAAGAACTGCTGAAACGATTATTTTATAGGGATTAGTTAAGATCCCTAACTTATTTTCTCCGGAGAAAAAGAGAGGTAAGAGGTGATCTTACTGATGTTTAATTAAAAGGTTAGCTGGGTACTGATAGAATAACAGCTTCTGATTTATTTCTGCTGTATTATGATGACAACAGAACAAGAGGATACAAGTTTCAGATTAAAAGATAGGCTAGTCCTCAGTTAGGACAGTCTTATTTTTCTAACAAGATGATTAGCTTATGGAGTGTCTTACTACTAGAAGTACAAATAGTAATCTTACTATTCACTGATATGTATAGATAGTTTGCAACACTGTCAAACAAGGATTAATCAATTGACAGAAAACCATTTACTGAAACATGTAGGTAGTTATCCATAGTGTCGTGCAAATTTTAATCAACTGACATTAAAACATTCACTGAAATGTGTAGTTTTCCACATTGTAATACAAATGTTAATCAATTGAAAGTAAAACATTCACCAATATATGTAGACAGTTCTCCACACTGTCGTACAAATGCTAATCTACTGGCAGTAAACCCTTCAACGATATGAGAACAGCTCTCCAAACTTTCAAACAATAGTTAATCAACTAACAGTAAATTCATAAAATAGGTACACAGTTCTCCACACTGACATATGAATGTTAATCAACTGAGCAAATCATTCACAGATATGTTTACACTTCTACACACTTTTAATACAAATGTTAATAAACTAACAGTAAACTTTTCACTGACAGATGTAGAAAGTTCTCAACACTCATACAAATGGTAATCTACGGACAGTAACCCATTCATTGAAGTGTATGTATATATATATATTTTTTTTTTACACAACTTGCTACACTGTCAAACACGGATTAAGCAACTGACAGTAAAACATTTACTGAAATGTGTACAGTTCTCAACACTGTGATGCACATTTTAATAAACTGGCATTAAACCATTTACCTAAATGTATAGTTTCAACACTGTCATACAAATGTTTAACAATTTACAGTAAATCTTTAACTGAAATGTGTAGAAAGTTCTCCATGCTGTCATACAAATGCTAATCAAGTGACAATAAGCCATCCACTGAAATGTGTATACAGTTCTCAATATTGTCAGACAAACATTAATCAACTGACAGTAAACCATTCTGAGATGTGTAATAGTTCTGTATACTGTCAAATTATAATCAACTGACATTAAATTATTCATTGAAATGTGTACAGTTCTCCATTCTCTCAAACCAACATTAATCAAGTGACAATAAATTATTGATAGATAACTGAAGACAGTTCTCTATACTGTTATACAAATGTTAGTCAACTTATAGTAAGTAATTCATTGATATGTGTAGACAGTTCTCCACACTATCATATAAAAATTAATCAACTGATGGCAAACCATTCATTGAAAGGGGTTGACACTTCTCCACACTGTCATGGAAATGTTAGTCAACTTATAGTAAGTAATTCATTGATATGTGTAGACAGTTCTCCACACTATCATATAAAAATTAATCAACTGATGGCAAACCATTCATTGAAAGGGGTTGACACTTCTCCACACTGTCATGGAAATGTTAATTATCTTAGTTTAAACCATTCATTGAAATGTAAACAGTTTTTCACACTGCCATACAAATGCTAATAAACTGACAGTAAACCATTTACTGAAATATAAACAGTTGTCCACACTGTCTTATAGATATTAATCAACTGACAGTAAACCATTCACTAAAATGTGTAGACAATTCTCCACACTGTCATGTAAATGCTAATCAAATGAAAGTATCCACACAAATGTGTGACAGTTATCCATATTGTCATACAAATATAATTGCAATGGCTTGGCAATATGTACAAACGTTACTATCTAAATACAGAATTGTGAAAGTATACAACTCATTATTTTGCTCTGTACTTGTGGGAAAGACATAATCATGATATAAGAATACTTTTCTTAAATGTTTCTCAGATTCTATTTTCATATATACTGTCAACAAACAAAAACCTCAAATACCAAATCTTTGTGTCAGAGAATTGCCATTTTAATGGCACATAAATACTGTAAAAAAGAAGTTCTTTTTTTTTTAAGCAAACATTCAAGTTATCAGTGGAACCCTAACAACTCTGACAAAATAGAAGAAAAGAGTGTACAGTCATCAAAACAGCATGGCTATAGCATGTTTCAAACTAAGGTTATCTGTAAATTTTTTGTCTATCTTTATTTACTTTGCTGAAATAATTACTGTAATATACTTCAAGAAACAGGAATTTAAGCAAAAAATTTAAAAACACCATAGTTTAATTGGAATTATAAATTAAATACTTTCAATTACAAAAATTAATTCATGCAATTAGCAGTAATAATATTATGTACAATAAAAAATTGTCAGTTACCTAAGACTTAAAACAAGTAGTAGAGCTAAGAGAAAATTTTTAAATTAATGGAACAATGATACTGATTGTGTTAATAATAATAATATTAAGTGACATTGCAAATCACTAAAAGCAGTAGTCTAGTTTAGTGAATAGCATTGGTTATGCAGTTGGTAAAGTGATCCTTTTAGAAAATGAATATTTATTAATGCTATCACAAACTTTTGCTTTAAACGTAAATGCATTGTAAATAGGCCTAGTTAAGCTGTACATTGATTTCTCTCATATTAGCAAAGAAACTAAAACTTCAATTCAATTATACAAGTTTAACAGTGTTTACAATGCAATATGATCTAAGGTGAATAAAACCAACATTAAATTAATAAAGCTTACTAACATTATAGCATCATATTCAAGCTGACGTACCAACTATTCTATAGTACAGTACTAATCCCAGTCCCAGATAAATTTCAATTGGTTCATTTCATTTGCCAAACTTGCATATTATTATTAAAATAAGCAACAATATTTTAACTTTCAATGTTTTATTGTACGCATTTGGCGTATCTATTTACTTTGAAGTTACACAAGATGGAACTAATTTTTCGAGCTATGAATTATTCAGCCCAAAATCATTGCCAAATGGTAATTTGGAAAGTGTGTTGAAATGAAAATACTGTTGTTATTACTTTACCTATGCAAAATGAAACTAAGCGCTTTCAAAATTATCGAGAAATAAGCCTATTTTTAATTCTAACATTAAATAATCACAATATCAATTAAACTTTAATATAAATGTGAATACAGTAATTTATCGCTGCAGTGCAGTGGACACTAGAAGTGTCATTGGATTTGGAGTCTGAATGGACAAGCCCACAGAGTACAACTACAAGTGCAGTAGATCATACAATAAAACTAATGCAAAATTACTTTTCGTGATCTATTTATATTTAGTGAGCATATATATTTTTTATTATTCATTTTAGATGTTTTAAATAGTTATAAACACTACCTGTAAGTGCTCTTGAAATCGTATTGGCAATATTTGCGTCATGCCGAATATCTTCACTTAAATATTCTGACAAAACAAATTCGATGACCGGCTCGCCTACCACCGGAGCGTACCGACCAGTAACACCCAAAATGGCGGAAAAAGATAAAGTAGTTCTATGAAAATTTTCATAAAATAAAACCCAAGTGCTTAAAAAATAATAATATAATGTTAAATGGTTAGAAAATAACAAGAAAAAATGGTCACTGTAGATAAATTATCAACTAAATAACAAGAAAACCCCATTCATCCACGTGACTAGCGGATGAAACTCTTTATCAATAGTGCCACATATCAGTTCTTTAATCACACAACCTAGCGTTAAAATATATATATGTACGCGTGTAAATAGGTGTTCATACCCACTTGTTTCGGGTGCTTTTAAAGGTAAGAGGTTTCGATAAACTGTTCGTGGGAAACGTATATCTGCTAAAAGTATGAAATGATTTGTCGCCATAATAATGAGTCTCCTCAGAACTCAACTTTGCTAAAAAAATGTTCTTGTTTTAATGTCTCCCAAAACGAGAAAAATAAGTATCTTTATTCCTCAGTATTATTTTTGATAGCATCAACAAATCATGAATTTTTCATTTTTTTAGAGGATGAACCAAATAACACAATATAATGTTTGGGACAACATGGGACCTATTGGTTCATTTCGGCTGTTCCATCCTCTAAACTAAATTAAAATAATTAAGAAACCTTAAAGCCAGCCCTTATCATTCATATACTTATCAAGCTTTTTCGTAAACTTAAATTTATTGCTTCTACAACATCCAAAGGCAACCCATTCCAGAGACCAACAAACAAATAATACTGTTGCGTCAGCGAGGTCACGTGACTAGTATCACGCCACGTCCTTCTCGAACCTTAAAGAATTATCTGGAGTCTTCTAGATTGG